ATATATATATATATTCGACATTATTTGTTATACATAAATAATATATGTTGAAACCTCTTAGCTTGTTCGTGTATTTTATTTTTAATATTCTGAATTCCTTAATAAAAATCTTGATTTCGACACTGGTCCCACATATCCATTTTATATACGTCATGATGTCATGATAAAGTTGTACGTTGGCTTTCAAATAAAGAAACAAAGCTTTGCTTGTCAACACACTACAAACCTATTGGTTTACGCGTTTGGAAGAACTCAAAGTTGTGAAATCCAATCCTATATATTTATGTGTATAAGAAAAATTAGACGTACATTTTAATAAATCACTTTTTCAACTCAGAATCCAGGACGTCTAAATTTTGAATCTAACTAGCAAGAGATAATGGTGAAGTTCAAGAACTTGAGATCAGATACATTAACACTAGTACTTGTAAATATTGCTGGTATAATGGAGAGAGCTGATGAATCTTTATTACCTGGAGTTTACAAAGAAGTTGGCAAGGATTTGCACACTGATCCCACTGGTCTAGGCTCTCTCACTGTCTTTAGATCATTAGTTCAATGCCTTTGTTATCCTTTGGCTGCATATCTTGCTGCTCGTCATAACAGAGCCCATGTCATAGCTCTTGGTGCTTTTCTCTGGTCTGCTGCTACTTTCCTTGTTGCTATCTCCTCCACCTTCACGGAGGTTCCTTCTAATCTCTGTTTTGTTAATTCTTTTTTTAAGAAAATCATCCACCATACGGGAAGGGGAGCCTTGGCATAACTGGTAAAGCTCTTGCCACGTGACCACAGGCAGGGGCGAAGCCACCTTTAACAAAGGTTGGTCAACTGACCACCCTTCACCGAAATATTATGAAAATTTACACTGTGTATATAAGTAAAATACTGATTTTTGATGTATAAATACATATTGAACACCCTTTGTCAAGAAATATTTTTTTAGTTCTTTCAAGTTTGAACACCCTTGGAAACATTTCTGGCTTCGCCACTGGTCACAGGTTAGAGCCATGGAACCCCTATCTCCTCTTGTAGAAATGCAGGGTAAGGCTGCGTATAATAGACCCTTGTGGTCCGACCCTTACCCGAATCTCGCACATAGCGGGAGCTTAGTGCACCGAGCTGCGTTTTTCTACCCACCAGACTTGTAAATATCTAACATTTTTAGATCAAAGAGAGAAAGAACAAACTTCATATTTGCTCAATTTGGATGATTTATGAGTTTAGAGTTCATGGACAGCCTCAAATTATTATTCCTTCCTTTTCCATTTATAGTTTGACTAGGTACGGAGTTTAAGAAAGAAAAAAAAGACTTTCTTGATTTTCTCGTGTGTGGTATTTTCTTAATCTGCAGATGATTGTAATCTTCATCTTTTCGTCTGATGGCGTTTGCATTTTGTTACCCTTCTTGTTGTCATACATGACATGAATAGAAGTGTGATCTTTTGAGAATTTGAGTTGTATAATTAAGTTTATCAATCTCATGTCATTTAAACAGATAGCAATTGCTAGAGGATTGAATGGAATAGGACTTGCAATAGTCATACCAGCAATCCAATCTCTAGTTGCTGATTCAACTGATGATAGCAACCGCGGTACAGCTTTTGGATGGTTAGCACTAACATCAAATTTTGGCTCAATTCTTGGTGGAATTTTGGCTGTTCTAATAGCAGAAACATCATTCTTGGGAATCCCTGGCTGGAGAATCTCCTTCCATCTGGTTGGTCTTATAAGTGTTATCGTTGGTTTTTTAGTCCGTCTCTTTGCCAATGATCCGCGATTCCTTGACAATAAGGGCAAAGCAAAAGATCAACCTCTACTAAAACCATTTCAAGAAGAAGTAATTGAACTGCTAAAAGAAGCAAAAGCAGTTATCAAAATACCTTCCTTCCAAATAATTATTGCACAGGGGGTTTCCGGGACATTCCCTTGGTCATCGTTGTCGTTTGTTACTATGTGGTTAGAGCTTATAGGCTTCTCCCATAAGACAACAGCCCTACTCTGGACTTTGTTTCAAGTTTCTCTGTCTCTTGGCGCGTTGTTTGGGGGCCGCATGGGGGATGTATTGGCCAAGCACTTTCCAAACTCTGGTAGAATTGTTCTAGCTCAGATAAGCTCTGGCTCAGGAATTCCTTTAGCTGCATTTCTACTGTTGCTATTGCCTAATGATCCTAAAACAGCTATGTTGCATGGTTTAGTCTTGATCATCATGGGATTAATCATATCATGGTGCGGTTCAGCAACAAACAAGTATGTCTCCTCGGATCCAATATATCATTTGTTGTCATGTGACTAGGAGGTCACGGGTTCAAGCCGTGAAAACAGCCTCTTGCAGAAATGCAGGGGTAAGGGGCTGCATACAATAGACCCTTGTGGTCCAGCCCTTCCCCGGAACCCGCGCATAGCGAGAGCTTAGTGCACCAGATTCCCAAGATTTTTTCTGTTTGTTTTACTCTTATGTCATGTTTTTTGTAGTCCAATATTTGCTGAGATAGTCCCTGAGAGAGCTCGGACAAGCATTTACGCTCTGGATCGATCTTTTGAGACAATAATAGCATCCTTTGCTCCACTGGTGGTTGGTATTTTAGCTCAACAAGTTTTTGGTTATAAACCAATTCCAAAGGGATCAACAGGCTCGGAAGAAACTGAAACCGATAGACAAAATGCTGCATCGCTTGCCAAGGCACTGTACACCGCGATAGGCATTCCATTGGCGATTTGTTGCTTCATATACTCCTTCCTCTATAGCACATATCCACAAGATAGGGATCGTGCCCGGTTGCAACAGATTGATGAAACAAGCAAGTTTCCATCTGAAGAACAACAAGCCTTACTTGAGAGCGAGGAGCACAGGCTCTTTTCAGCAACTTGTTGAAATCTTCCGACAAAATTTTAGACTATCTGTACATAGAATCCAACAAACAGAAAATCACTTCTCGCTGAAAAGGACAGTCCGGTGCATAAAGCATCCCCTATTAATGCAGGATCGAAGGAAGGGCCGCACACCTGCTTCCATGGCTCGAACTTGTGAGACCTATAGGTCACATGGAGACAGCTATACCGATGCAAAAAATTTCTAAGGTGTATTTGCTTATTATTTTCAAATGAAATTTGTAAAGATTATATCAGTTTGTAATATATTATAGTAGTGACTGGTGCAAAACACTCTAGTTCACTTTTATCTACTGTTGTAATTTTATCTTAAGCTACGTTGTTTATACCATGGAAGAAGCAAAATATCTAAAGAGAATGATTCTTAATGATATACTAGCTTGATTACACAAAGTTTTGCGTGGAAACAATAAGAGTTTGGTGCAATAAGCTCCCGCTATGCACGGAGTTCGGGAAAGGGCCGGACCACAAGGGTCTATTGTATGCAGCCTTACCTTGCATTTATGCAAGAGGCTGTTTTCACGGCTCGAACCCGCCTGGTCACACGACAACAACTTTACTAGTTACGCCAAGGCTCCCCTAGAAACAATAAGAGCAAACAACAATATAAATACATCACCTACAACAGTGAAGGTTGACAACTCACAAATGGAGTTTTGCGTGTAAACAATAAGCTAGGAAGAGAGTTAAATAACTTGAAGATCTAAGCCAGAGCCTTCAAATTTTTCGCGTGTAATTTTATCAAGACGTTCTTGCATCTCCTTTGTGAGGGAATTTTTCCCGTCCCCAACAAGACCATTGCGGAAATAAGCAATTTTAGGAATGCCAAGACAAGGTTCCAAGCCATTCTTGTTAACCTGAAGATTCTTCAGCCTCTCCAAACTGCATCTCCAAAGGACATTATCAAGCTCCTCCTTGTTCGCAAAAGGTCTGCCAAGAAACTCAGCCAACTTCTTCACTTGCCCTTTCGGATCTTTTTTCATCTCTTCATACCTCAAGAAAAGTATCTTCTCGGGTTTCTTCAAACTTTCATTCCAGTACTCTAAAACATGGTCATGAAAGGGGCCAAAAGGATGAATGCCTTTACAGAAACTGTCGAATTCTTCATCCATCTTTGGACAAGGCTCTGCATTGGATATCGAATTCATGAAGTGCCATAACGACACAAAAACATCTTTAGGTTCGCGGGTAATGTACACTAATTTGCAGCTGGAATTGTCATTCTTGATCGACTCTGGAAGCTTGGAATAAGGCAGGTGAGTCCGAAAGAGTCGAGGTGAAGGCATTTCGTCAACGTTAAGGGCATCAGAATCTAGGTTCTTTGGGTTGAATATTGATAGTTCAATAGAGGGTATGAGTTGGTTTGGATGGTTTGTTAGTAAAGGGTCATCCTCCTCATGATCAATATTATCTCTGTTAAGGGCCATGATGCAAGGGATAAGAGCTTTGAGCCAAGTAGTACCTGCCAATGGTGGAGCCAGGTTTTGCATTAAGGAGAGTTAAAATATAAAGAAGTAAACACACGAAACAGTCAAGGGGATTCAACATATATTATAGATAGATATAGAGACACTTAAAATTGCCACGAGCCTTGTTCTGATTGAACACCTATAGTACATCCAAAGTGTACCAATCAGACACATTTCACTGATATAGTTGATAGCTTGAGTTGCGCCCGTAAAATGCTCGTCTTCATTGTCCTCTCTGCCGTTCACTGAAGCTTCGATCATCGGCTCCAGTGTCATTAGGTCACCAACTTCCTTGACCATCTGGCACTGCGCAAGCTCAGCCCTTATACATGGTCTCAGGGCGGCCAGACCCTACACTTGCTTTAGGCTCCAAAAATTTAAGGGCCCAAAATTATTAATTTCTCTATATAGCAGTATATTATTTATATAATTATTTTCTATTATTGATAAATTTATTTTTTTATTGTCATATTAATGTTTGATAACTCAATTTCTTCCTCTAATTAATATAACCAAAATAATTTTCTGTCAATCTTATTTTACGTTTTTACTAAATTATATTTCTCTATTCATTAGTTAATGTAACGACCCGGCCGGTTGTTTTGCCTTCTAGAACCCCTTTACCCTAAATAAGACTTTCCGTACGTGCTTTTACTATTTTATAACTTGCAGGGATGGTTAGTTCGGGATTTGGAAGGGTTCGGATTGAAATCGGAACACTTGGTTCCTTAAGGTTGGCTAAAAAGGCTAAGTTTGAATTCAGTCAACATTTTGAGTAATCGACCTCGGAATCGGGATTTGACATAAATGTATGTTTATACACATTTTCATCTCTTAATACTCTATTTTCACTTAGAAAATCCTACTAATTGTGATTCATTTTTTTACCAAACTAAGCAAGAAACATAAAGCCAAAGAAAATTCTACACGCTACAACTCAGTCGATCAACCATGTCAGCAAAAAGTGTCTTGATTTGTACATTATGGACTTACTACAGGTGTTCAATCGAAACAAAACCAACTTAAAGTGTCTTAATGAAAAATCATGGCAACTTTATGAACGAAGCAATTGACTCGAGGGTAGCTTACCTGTTTTCATAGATGAAGCAAGAATAACATCATCATCCCGAGCCAAGAAACCAGATTGAGCTGCTATGGCTGCTTTTACGAAATCTATACGGTACCAGTAGCCGTCCCACTGGTAACAAAAATTAATAGGTTCCCTGCATTTTACCCTCGGAAGTCCATCTACAAACGTGGCAAATTCTTCTTCACTCATAATAGCATCTAATTTGGAGGTTGCCATTATCACTGTTTACAAGTTAAGCTGCACTTTGTTTTGTGTTGTGCTATGTTTTCCCAGGGGAAGCTGTTAGTAACCAAGATCTATGTTGATTTATATAAGGCTTGTCTGACCACATATCTCACGTCCTTTTTTTCTACATTTTTCTTCGTTTTACATCACGTGTTCTTATCCTTTCTATTCCCTCAGCATATTTAAGTGGGGTATATTCCTTAGAATCGGCCGACACTCAGTAATTGGCATCCTCATTCGCTTTTCCACTCATTATATAATTACTAGTAAAATCTAATGAGTAATGAACGCCAATTAATATGAAATATGTGTTAGGACCCGAAAAATTAAGTGTCATGCAGAAGCTAGTAAAGCAAACCTTGAACGATGATAAATTAGACAATAAAAGAGAAATATACCAAGAGAGACACAAACATATAACGTGGTTCGGTCAAATGACCTACATCCACGACGGAGATGAGCAATCCACTATAATAAAAGAGAGTACAAAATATCAAGAGAGCAACCTCACGATGAGGCAAACACAAGTGACACACTAACACTTGTCCCGTAAAGTTCTCCCCCTAAACACGACTCTCAAAACCCATATGGCTACATTGTGGATGCTACTGAATGAGAAGGAAGGATCTTCAATTTATAGGGGAAATCTACTCTAAATGCCTACTCAGGCAATTTTAATTACCCGTTACTACCCATTCTAATTTCTCTTACAATGTGTACCTATGCAATCTAAAGTATTTACCCAACTACCTATTTTCAAAATCCTTTCCTTTCTAATCCCGGATCACGTGAAATCCCATTAATTGCCCCAACCTATTTTCTCTTTTATTGTCTTCTCAAATATAAATAAACGTTTTTCTTCTATCTTTCTCATTTCATAATAGGATGTACTTGTCCATTGAATATTTTTTATTAAGTTATTCTCCATTTCAAAATGGTATATAGTATATTATTATAACATGTCTAAAATTTAGTATAATAATGACGTACAAAATTGAGTTAATTAGATTATGTAACAACTGATATTATTTCAGTTTAATAATTGAATTAAAAAAAAATTAAACTCTTTGCATACAATTGTATACCCTGTTGGAATATTTATATATTATACTAGTATCATATGTTAGTTGGAACCTTTTTTTATTGTATTAGCTACATTTAATTGGTACACTGTTTGATTTTTCTTTAGTAATAGTAGAATAGTACAATATTTTGAATTTTTCTAATTTTAATTTATGCATATGTATTATGTAGTCATTTTGATTTTTTCTTTATGAATTTTTTTTATATAATAGTATTATAGTACAATATCTTGAAATATATTAATATTAATATGTGGTACGCTATTTTTTTATTTTTCTCTTTATGCATGTGTATTATGTAATAGTAGTATAGTCATATATAGTTGCGTGGAATTAATTAGTAGAACTGTATACCCTATTGGTATAATTATATGTCATATTGGTATCATATAGAAGTTGAAATATTTTTTGGTTGTTTAGCTACATTTTCAAGTGAATACTATTCTGAAATGATTTATATGATCATATTTTGTTGTGTTGGATTTTCTTGTACCTATGGACATAGATTTTGTGTATTATGTAATGATTTTTATAGTTATATGCAGTTGTTGGAACGACCCCGTACAACTATATACCCTATTAGTATAGCTATATACTATTTTGGTATCATATGTTAGTTGAATCCTTTTTTGATTTTATTAGCTGCATTTAATTGGTACACTATTTGATTTTCTTTTAATAATGGTAATATAGTACAATATCTTGAAATACTTTATTATATTAATATGTGGTACACTATATTGTTATTTTTCTCTTTATGCATGTGTGTTATGTAATAGTAGTATAGTCATATAGTTGCCGAAAATTAACCAGTAAAACTGTATACCATGTTGGTATAGTAATATGCCATATTGGTATCATATGGCAATTTAAACATTTTTTTGGTTGTTTTAGCTGTATTTTTAAGTGAATTCTGTTCTGGAGTTATTTATATGAACATGATTTGCAGTGTTGGAATTTTTTTGTACCGATGGATATAGATTATGTGTATTATGTAATAATTTTATAGTTACAGGCAATTGTTGGAGCGACCCGATACAACTACATACCCTGTTAATATAGAGTAAGTTGCTTTGCGAATTTTAGCTTGCAATGCGAGCATGTAATTTTCTCATACTTTTAATGCATCCTTTAATGTTTTGGTACATTGATATAGTCGCAGATTGTTGTAACAATATTCTAGAGCAATCATATACTCTGTTGGTATACATGTATACCATATTGGTATCATATGGTACTAGAAGTCTTTTTATTACATATACTTTAATTGCATTTTTTAGTATTTTATTATCATTTCTATTCTAACTAGTATATATGGAGATTTGGTGGTTGTAGATTGTGTTTTCTTGTTCCATAACTAGTTGTATTACTACTAATGGTAGAGTGTGTACTCATATTTTTTGGGAAGGAGATAAAGGTTTGCATGGCAATCACATATTGATTCTTAGAAGCTGATTATGTA